AAGAATCTTTGCAAGGTATAGAACTTGAATTGGTCAAATTTCATAAATTCCTCCTGAGCTCCGCCAGAGACAAAAGAGGCAACCTTATTTCTCGAACTCAAACTTCTCGATCTTGCTTTTCGGTGGCCGGCGGCTCCTTTAGCGCCGGTCACGGACCCCTCTCATTATTGTTTAGCGCTAGATCTTTTATGCTTTGTTTCTTTTGTGTTGATCCTCACCTGGTATTGGGTGATAGGAAAGAATGCATTTGTCAGTAATAGTGATTTGTGGAGGTGGATCCGCAGTTTTGGTGACCATCGGAGCTTGGGTCATCTCTCCTTGGTGGCTCTTTCACCTTTGCTTTGTCTCCTTCGTTCTTGTTTGAATCTCCGGTTTGCTCCCTCCTTAGATCTGCTCGGCGATTGGGTTTCTCGGATTGTTTGGGTTCCTTTTTGCGGTCTCTCAACGGTCTTGGTTTGACCGGACAAAGGTGAAGTCTCTTCAGATCTTCTTTCTGGCTCGGTTCCTTGAGAGACTCTTGATATCTGCTCTCATTTCCTTTGCTTGGTATTTCAGAGTTGTTCTTTTGGCTGAGATAGGGTTTTTTTGGTTAGGTAAAAGTTTTTATTTCTTGCACCTAGGCACTTTAGTGGTCTATGCGTTTGTTTGGCTTTTGAGGTTGGCTTGATTCTTTTGTTTGGGCTCGGAGATCATGGTATCTTTGTCGTGCGCCATTGCCTTCTCAAGATCCCGGTTATCCTGGTCTGATCACTTTAGTGTTGGTTCTTTGCTTTGTTTTCATTACCGTCAGCGTTCTTCTCTACCTTTGCTATTGCCGGTTAAGTTGGTTCTAGAGCCGCGTTCTGGTCTTCCACCTCTCTGGGTGTGCCTCAAGGTTTAGGTTCCGCTCCTAGTTTATGTTTGTTGGCTCAGTTTTGGCATTTCTAGGTTTTATGGTTAAGCTTGTGGGATTGTGTTCATGATTCAGCGTTTTGAGCATGGGTCGAGAATTATTCTTTTATCTTTATCAATACCCTTTCTCTTTTTGTTTTAGGTTCTAGTGTCCTGTATATGTCTCCAGGGAAGCTTGTCTTCCATTGGCTTTGTTGTTGTAGTGAACTTGTATCAAATCTTGTAGTCCGTCATGTATTCCTCGGGGTTTAATATAATATTCTAGATGAAAAAAAAAAAAATCTTTGCAAGGTATGGGAATCTACAATGTACATAAATGGAATTATATTGATCATTTTTTTTAAATGAAGAAAAAAGAATAATA